TACATGGGTATAAGTAAATAATATATTATACTCGTGCATATATATATATATATATATATATGGGGTTGAGCTCTCGCGGGCAACAGGCCTCGCGCCCAGCCGGGGATAGACTGCCGGCTCGGCGCGACCTCGGCCGTACCGCGCCTGTAGCGCTGTGCGAGAGATAGACATCCACCGACCGGCCGGCTGGGGTGGTGCGTGCTCCATGCACGTGTATATATATATACATCACCTATACCCTACTTACACCCCGTGTATAGCGGGAGAGAGAAGGAGAGCGAAACGGCCCGAGAGCTCCCGAGGGACTTTTGATGCTGTGTGCGCGTGTCTATGTACATATATATACATGTTTTACGGAGCGCACCTACACCACGCAGGAGAGATTTGTACTACGTACCCCCATGAAAGGACGCGCGTACGCGTTAGCGGGGGGTGGCGGAGAGGATATGAGAAAATACCATATTCGGATCGGTGCATGGTGATGGTGGGGGGAGAGGCGCGAGAGATACCGCATAGTTCATATCTGGCGTGTGTGGTTGGGGGGAAGGGGGGTAGCGCGCGGTAATTGGAGCGGGGGTGGGTGATGTTGGGGTATTATCTTGAAAGAAGGGAGATATATAGATCGTGTCGAGGCGGACTCTGGAATGCGCGTGAACGCGCCGTCGAAGCGTATATATCGAGAGGAGTTTCGCGGGATCGACGGAGTCGTTGTATGTTGCAGGGGGTTGCATGATGATGAAAGCGCCGAGGAAAGAGCTATAGGGGGGGGGGGTGGAAAGGAACTTTGGCGAATTAATAAAGGGCTCGCGGCTTATATATACCGTGATGGCCGATACGCCGTAGGTACGCGTTGTTTCATCCATATGATTTATACGTCCGTTACCATTTCGGGTTCAAGGGCGAAGCGTTCATGTGCAATTATACTAAATTTTAGTATGTACCGATATAATGGGAACGCGTAGCGAGATAATATACATCACGAGTAATGCTGAATTATGATAGTGCGCGCGCGAGAATGGCTCAACGAGATAAGACGACTCTCTTCGAGACGGCCCTCCCTTTCCCCAAACTCAACTCTAAAGGGTCATTGGTGTGCGTATACGTACATCGAATCAGTCTAAACTGTATGCATGCCACAAACAATCATTTTTTGCTCTAATAAAAATGACCCCTGCGTCCTGGGTTAACTTGGCGTCGAAACTTTTCAACCAAAACGCCAAAATGAACGGTACAAGCCTCCCGGAGCGGTATACGCGGTGGGGGACTGCACGATCCATATTGTGAGCTAAAAGGTGTGGGGTAACGCACGATAATGGCCCACACGTACATGTACAGGCAATACGCGGTTAGCACTGTGTAGCACACGGCTAAAAGCCTTCCGGGTCCCCTTTGCCGATATATACATACTCGTGCGCCGAAAACAAGAGCAAGGCAAAAATGAAACAACGAGGATGTATATGTGATCCCTCGGCGATACGAGTAAAAATAAAAAAAAAACCTGGACCAGGTATATATGGGGAAGGAATGAGGTATATACAAGTAGAGCTCGGGCAGGCAGTGTACGTGTATTATGTATTGGTATATGTATACCCAAAGCCGAGGGCGACGGTCAATGTCATCCCCCCCCCCTCCAAAAGGAAACAGGGAAGAGAAGCAGGACCATCGCGTTGTGTGTGTGTGCGCATATATAAACTATGCATGTGGCTCGCGGGGGATGCTGAACAAAACGTGGACAGTTTGCGTGGTGTGTAACTGCGTGTGCCGACGACGCCACCCCCTTTTTTTTTCATCCCGGCGCACTAGTTGCTGAAACAAAAAAAAAGCGAAGGAGACGGGCTGCGTAACTGCTGCCCTTTTGAGATGCGTACAACGGAGGAAAGAAAAAGACGCGCCCTTTTTTTTTTTTTTTTTTTTTTTATACACATATAAGCTTTGTACGCCGAGGAGTTGGCTATTAACTTTTTTATTTCCGGTTCTTTCTTGCCGCGCGGAGAGAAATTGATTCGCCGAGAAAGGGATAAAGGTGATGGTGCTGATAAGATCGAGGCTGGGTATGTACGAGCCGATTGAAATTATCGATACAAGAGAGAGGTTGCGCAAACACGCGTCCGTGCCCTCCGGGGTGAGGTGTTGATGCATACGTGTGTTATACGAACAGAGGATATCTTTTTTTTTTTTTATGTAACGAGATGATATAATACAGAGAGAGATGCAGGTCGATTTATTTCATCTTACGGGGGTTGTTTGTTGCTTGGCTCGGAGCTACTGTCTCTACCTACAATCCATCAGCGAATCTATTGTCGTACCTTACGAGGAGGTTGGCCCGTGTGTATAATTGTACCTCTGCTTTCGAATGGCAACCGGACACAACGAGATTTTCACGCGAGTGTGGATGAAATAAAAAAAAAAAAAAAAATCCCAAACCACACGTATTGCCGAAAGAATTCTTATCACCCCCTCCGGCGTCGGAATTAGCTATACGCTTCGACCCAGAGAACCGTTTGCGCGTGAAAATGAAAGCCACGCGCGCTAGTTAGTCCACCCGGAATGACCCACACCCGCGCACGGACGAGGGGCTGAAATTGCCGGCTGCACGTATATACAAGGGGCGATAAGGGCGAGATGCAACCCTCCCTCCCTTCTCCGTTTGCCGGTCTATTTCTCGCGCAGGGCTCCTTCTCTTTATGATTTTTATCCCCTCTTTCTCTTTATCTGTCCGGCGCGCCTGTGCTCTCTCTCTCTCTCTCTTTCTCCCTCCCAAGAGATACGGTCCGAGGGAATAATCGAGGCTGAACACGCAGGGGATGGTGAGGCGAGGGTTTGGTTTTTTCGTTGTTTTTCGGTAAAATTGTAATACCCAACTGCCGGAGTAACGGCAATCGAGCGGGAATTCACCGAATCTTTCCGACGAAATTGTTTCGCAGGTGTATAATGGGCAATTACTTACGTAACGTATATATATTATATACATCGTAGGAACGAAGAGGGTATAAAACAACGGGCGAGAGTCCATTTGTTTTTCTATACACAACGGAGAGAGCATCACGGCTCGAGCGCCGTAAAGATAACGCGATTTTTTCTCATTTTTCTTCCGCCGCTCACGTGGAGGGAGGGGAGAACGGGGGAGGCTATATTGATCACTGGGACAGTTTCTCGGAGGGCACGCTATACGGTAGGTGTAGGCTTTGCGGGGTTTTTCTATATATACATATATCTCAGCGTCGCAGAGGAGGAAAACACTCGGTGCGGGTGTGGATGAAAGTAAGAGGAGGAGATGTATAAGGGGAGAGGAAAGTAAGGAACCTAATCTGCCGGGAGGTGGAAGGACTGCGGTAAGGTGATATCGGCACGTGCATTGGGGAGAGGGATTGATATGAAAAATCTCTCGCGGAAGGGTGGGAATTTTTTTTTTCCAATCAGCGCCGCGCGTCGATATTCGACTCCTCTCGGCATAAATAAATATATCGAGCGACTTACAGGGAAACGTGAATATCCCCCTTTGCCCCTCCAATGAGTCTCTGGCTTTAAGTATATATAAAAATAAAAAAAAAAAACAATTACGCCCTGAAATCACAGTGGAACACGAAGGAGGAGCAACCTCGCCGTGGTGGCTCAAGAAGAAGAGGAGACGAGCCAGCCTTCCGACATATTTATGGTTCTCGCAGGGAGAGAAAAAAAGGAACAGTCCCAGTGCGTAGCGTCTCTTGGGGACAAAAAAAAAAAAAAAAAAACAAGCTCCTCCGTGGCGCTGGGACAAAAGGTGGAAAATATCGTGAAAACTGGAATTCGCGCGTGCAAGAAGCGAAAGGGGAGAGAATTTAATGAACCGAACGGTATATAGGTACGTAGCGTTGGAGTGCGGGAGGCGAGGGACACGGGGCGATAAATTTGGAAAGTGGCTGCAAGTTGCAAGAGCCAGCCGAGCCTTCCTCGCGTCGTTCTTCGATTAGGTTGGCGCTTATCGCCCTGCCGCCCTTACACTCGGTGGAATCTGATTTTTTTTTTTTTTTTTTTTTTTTTTTTTTTTTTTTTTTTTTTTTTTTTTTTTCAACCCTGTACAACCAGCCGGAGGACTCTTCTGCACCTTATCTCCCCTTCCTCTCGCTTTATACAGCCAACCTTCAAGTATCACGAGCGGTTTTTTTAAATCGTGTACGCTTCGAGATCGTGACTCTGCGGAATTTGTTTCGATTTTTTTTGCTTCCCAAAGTGAACGCGGACCTCATTTGCCGATGAATGTGCTTTGGCGAGTCATTTCGAAAGCTGTTCCTTCTCCCCCGTGTACGTATCATGTATATACATGTACCCGCAGTCCATTATTCACCGTAAATGCGTTACTTTTCAAGGTTTAATTCGAGTACGCCAACGCAGCGGAAAGGTCCTGAAGGGAGAATTTATCGAGTGTACTTAAACTGCTGAAAATGATTGCAGTTGTTAAAAAGAAGATACACAAAAGGGCCATGAAACGGCTTTTTCAAGGGCCGTTCATTTCACGCTGCTCGCCCACTCGTAATGGCCCTTGTTTGAAACAATTTTCATGCCAACTTGTCCTTTGATGTCTTTTGAGAGCGTAATTTGTTTAAAAAAAGAAAAAAAACAAACGAGTCAACGTCAATTTGTTTATCCAATTCTGGTTGTCGTTTAACGAACCGTCGCGCGTGCACGCGAGAAGAAAAGTGTAAGGGAGTTTAAATCATTTTAGTTCAGCCTCGTAAAAATTGGTCAAAGTAAATCAACGACGTACTCGATTTCGCAGGAGTGATGGAGAAAGATCACTTTGATCATTTCTCCGACTTATACATAGCCTGGATCTACGTGTTGTACGCAGTGCTGTACTTTATCGTGATAATGTACAATTTTTTTGGGATGAATAGAAAATTACCAAACCTCAAAACATTACCACTTCTGGGTTACAAGTTTGCGTGTTTATCTCAAGACATATATGTATAATTTACATGTAAAAGAATAAAATGTAAAAATGAAAGCATCGGCACACTAACCTTTGCGTTGAAGTTGAGAAACAGGTGACGACAACTCGTTATCCAGGTCGCTGCGATTTTTCAAGTGGTTCCAGTCATCCCTCAGTTTCTTCAATTTTTCCTGCCAGGTTGGACCAATCGTTAGAACGCGTGAGCAATCATTAAAATTACAATGTCGAAACAGCGAGGGTATAATTATATTGATCGGAGGAAAGCACGTTTCAATTAAAAGGGGCGTGTTAGTAAGCGATAAAAAAAAAAAAAAAAATACTGACTTGAAGCTCGATGGAGACGGTCTGCTTGGCGGACTCGCACTCTTTTTCCAGATTCGTGTAGTTCTCCAGCACGTCCTTCACTTCCATCTGCCGGTCTTCGACGCTCGCCTGTAATCAGTCGCAAAGCAAATTGTCGATTACAACACCCTCGAACGAGATGCTCAAGCACGTACCATGACGTCGTCGATGGTCTTGAGCCTGAGCTCGCGCTGGTGTTGCTCGCGCGCCTGGTTGAGCCTGGAACGGGTCTCCGCGACCCAGGCCATGACGCCGTCCAAACTTTGCGCGTACTTCTTGAGCGACGTCAACTTGCTCTCCACGTACTCCTTGTGCGCCGAGATACCTCCGTGGGCCTGTTTGATCAAACGAAGCGCGCATCGTTAAAGTGAAACAAAACAAACCCAATAACCCTTACCTTTTCCAGGCTACCGATTAATTTGTTGCACTCGTCCTCGCTGACGTCGGCATGCTGTTGGCTCTTGAGCGTCTGCACTTCCTTTATCTGATCGGCCAGCTCCTGTTCTCGAGCCTTTTCAACGCATTTCGATTAGTATACATCCTGCTCAACACGCGATCCCCCTTTGGTAATGATTATTCATTCAACCGGTGTTTGATTACTTTGACGGAAGCGAGTGTCCCGGTAAAAGTGAACAAAAAAATGGTCGTTAAAAAAACGGCTTTTCGTCCGACACCCGATTACATTCGAGCAACATTTCCAATAAGCCCTCTTTTCGTCACCCCCGCTATATAGCCGAACAAAAAAAGGGGAGGTAAAAAAAAAACAAAACGTGTGTGCCAAGCGAGCGAGAGTTCATCGATCGAAGGGATTACACGCGAGCGCCAGTGGAAAAGAGAGAGAGCGAGAGGGTCCATTGAGGGAAGCAGCTGTTGGCTACACACGATGGCTCTAAATTTAGTCACCAGCCGTCACCCAGTCCCTGTACCTGATATGTGTATACAATGCACGTGTATACTGTCATCAAAAACGAGATCACGAAGGGGGGGGGGGACGCAAGAGAAAGAGGGAGACGAATAACTTCTATTTCGAGGGACACTGGCCGGCTATCTTCTCTGCGCGGCTCCGTTTCTCTGTAGGATGCAAAAACAAAAGCTTCGGTGTGTCGCTTGAGGACGAGTTTTTACAGCTTAAGAAGTCGCTGATCTCGTGCTCGGCGTGTATACGATCGCTCGTGAGTGAAATCACCTTTTTTTTTCTCTCTAATCGTGCTGTGATCTCGTTTCATTCTTATTTTTTCTATACCACCTATTGGTGTCGGTTTGGTAGGTGCTACTACATCATTTTAATCGTTACTGGTAAGGCGACAACTAAAAACGTTTGGGGGAAAAAAAAAAAAAAAAAAAAAAAATCAAACGGACACTTGATGAAGGAACGAGTAATCAATCACCAATCAAATAAACGACAAGGGATAAAAGCGTCGGTTGGACTTACCTTAACCATGGACAGTCGGATCGACAGGGACGTGTCGTCGGACGGATTGGCCGTGGAGACGAGGAGCGAGTTCACCTGCGTCACTAGATTCGCGCCTCCGTCAAGTATCTGTTTGGGTCCCCTCTGCTTGCCCATCACCGTCATCCTAATCAGCCGGGAGTACAAAAAATTTCTCTTAACCCGCCTCAACATCTGTTCTACTGCGTGTAAGTGTTGTAACTTGTTTTACTTTTTTGTTGCGGTTTAAGTATATGAACTCGCGGAGAAAAAGAAAGTGACAACGTGTAGGAAGAAAAGAAAAGAAAAGAAAACCCGAGTATCAGTTCAAGGGGAGCTGCGAGCGGAGCAAGTATCAGCCGACGTTACGTCCGAGGCATGTTGAACGCGCGCGCGAAAGAGTGATCGACAACGAGCGAGGGGGACCAGCGCCGGTCGCGAGTGCAACTGAAATAGACGCGCGCTCGACTCGAGAACACACGAAAAAGAACACGAGGAGGAGAAACACCGGCAACAGAGACAGAACAAGGAAGTCGCGTTTTCGGTTATATTTTCTCTTTCCAGTTCGCTAGTGCAAGCCGCCTCTGTATGTGTGTGTGTGTGTGTGTGCACAAGCGATAAAATGACATTTCAACGGCCGGCCATATCGTAAACATACTCGCGAGACAGATCTCTACGCACCGATGAGTTTTCGGCGAATCCCCGGCGGTGGTATGATACTTTTTTTTTTCTTTTCCGCTAAAATTAGCAAATCTCTCGACAGTTTAGAGAAAGCCACATGGATTATAAACGCAACGGGGTCGCGTCACTTTTTATTACTACGACGTTGTTTCAAGCCTGTTTTTATCGCTAGAACAGTCCAAGGGTCATACGGTAGCGACCAACCTGCTCTTTAGTATGTTCCAGTCGGTAACAAAGCCCTGCCACCTGGTCTTGAGATCGTCAATAACACGCTGCCAGTCCCTGATGTCCCCGGGCGACGATCTAATCTTGATGTCGGCGATCGTCGCACCGATCCCGTTCATGGTCTTGACCATCCTGGGCATCTCGTGATCCAGCTCCGTCATTCTGGCCTTGCTGAGCTTGTTCTGCGGATTGACGGTAATCTCCTTGACCGTCACCTCCATCTTGAGCAGGGTGTCGTCAAAGTTCCAGCACGCGTTCCTCAGCTCGTTGAGCTTCTCGTTGCACTTGGCCCAGCGATTGTACCGCTCGACGTAGCACTGGTTCACCATCGTCCACTCTTTCTTGAGGTTGTCGTTGTGGTGACGGGCCTGCTCGTTCTCGGCCAGGTTCTCCCACAGGTAGTTCATCTCCTCGACGCTCGGTTTCAGCATGTTCAGAGCGTTGCTGATTTTCTTCAGACACTCGTCCTGATCCGTGAACAGCTCAAAGTCCTTGCCGTTCAGTGGCGTCGAGTTTAGGGACTTGGACAGAGTCGCGATGGCCTCGCGCAATTTGTTGGCCCGCGCCAAAAAGTCTTGGACGGTAATGCCACCGATAGGCTGTGCGAGGATGACAATTAATGGCCCGTTGCTCTACAAAAAAACAAAACAAAGTCCAATGCACCAACTCACCAGCTCGACCTTCTTGTCCGTGTGTTGCTTTTCCTTGTCCTTGCTGCCGCTGAACCTCTTGAACTGCGAACTGATCTCCTGCCACCTGTTGCTAATGCCATAGTACACCGTCTCGTTGTGCGCTACGTTCAACCTCTTGAGTTCCTGTAGCAGCTGACCCAGTCTCTTCACCTGTTCCTGCCTGGCGTCGAACTCTATGGTAAAAGCCTCGAGTTGACCCTCGTAGTTGTTCGCCTGTTCCAGCTTCTGCGGCGCCAAACGGAACCAGTCCTCCAGCTCGGACACCAGACGCTCGTACGACCGTAGCGCGTCCTCGGCCCTGAGAGCCTGAGCCCGCTTTGTCTCGCACTCCTGCATCACCTGGTGCCACTTGGCGCGCAAACGGTCCTGGTGATCGTGTTTGATCCTCTCCGCTCGGTTGGGATCGTTCGAATGGACTGTCAGCACCAAACCATCCCCGCGGCTGATTAACGTTGCCGCGTCCGGTGCCAGACAACTTATTTCGGCCTTTAGGATCTATGTCGACAAATGATATAGTTTTATACGTACACAGCGAGATTTATTATAGAGGAGGGGGGAGGGGGTAAATACCTCGAGACGCTTGGCAGGATCTCGCTCGTTCGTGACTCCACCGACGGTCATCAGCATGATATCCATTCGGCTGAGCATCTGCTGCGCCAGATCCTCAAACTCGCGGATTTCTTTTTCCAGAGCGGCTCTTGAAACTCGGCCAGTTTTCAGGGGCGATTTTCTCTCGCTTGACACATTGTGCTCTTGATGGACACTGCTCGTTGCGCGCTGTTGACACTTTTCTTTTTCCATCTGTGATTTAGAAAAAAAAAAAAAAAAAAAAAAAAAAAAAAAACATTTTTTTTCTTAATTACCGTGAGAGTGCATTAATTTTAACTATAGTATCGAAGCATGTATCAACGCTTGAGATGAGCCCATAATTGATCAACAGTAAAAACGCCGCTTATTCATCGAAAAGGTCGAAACTTTAAAGATTCAGTGATCATCGAACGGCACCGAGAGCATCGGCAGTTCACATGTACGTATATATAGAAGAAGAGAACTACGCAATTCGATTTCCGGCCGAATGCACCGCTTCTCAACTCGTATTCCAACAATCGACCAACTTTCTTGCCGCCTCGAAAGTTTTGGTGCGCACGCGGGCGACGATAAACGACCATCGTCCGGACAAACTCCCTCTCTCGCTGAGGGAGCTCATTGTCGCGGAAAGGCGTTTTAAATTGCTTTATTAATATTCAACCAAATCTCGAGTGGAATTTGAAGAGTTACCGGGTCCACTGGATTATTTAATGATGCGTTTCGATAGCTAAGATAAATCGTACATTCATCAAGATTTTATGAGCTCATAAATATGTATGCAAAGTTATTAAAAACCACTTAGCAAGCCACAACTAGTTTTGCACAACCTTAATTTACGAAGAGGAACAAAAAACTCTCGAGTAGCCCCATCTACCTTATTCGAAGCATCCTTTGCCTTATCCTCTTTCGCATCAGCGCTCGGTTCCCCTTCCTCCGAGCTCGAACTGCCGACGTCGATTTCCGTATCGTCCGAGAACATCAACACATCGTCCGTTTCCTTGTCGCTTCCGTAAAAGCTGTCGCAGTCCTCCCTTACGACCTCGCCGGCCACGAGCTGCTGCACCTTTGTTCGCTTGGCTAAAGGCGATCCCTTTTCCTGGCCTGCGAATGCCCTAGCGAAGGTGACCTCCTTGGCACATGGACCCTTGCGTCGAACGCAAGCTCCCGTAGGTTCTGTTTCGACAGACGCCAACCGGCCATTTGTCGAAGAAGTGCCAGCGTCATCGAGAACAAGGTACTCGGCAACGCTTTCGGTGTCGATGCGTGCTTTCGTGACCACCTCCGTTGGTGTCGAGGTGACGAGGGGCAGGCGAGCTTTTTGCAGAAAGGTCGTGGGCGACTGTTCCAATGCTTCGTCGAGTAAATCAGCGAGGTCCTTTTGGTTGCTTTCGCTGCCACGTTTCAAGATCGAAACCAGTTCTCTTTTTGGTGTCCGCGAGGATGGCTCGGTTTGCTTGCCGTTTTTCTCCTCCGGGTCAGTGTCTACCGACTCGGACTCTGTTTCCGTGTCCTCGGCTATCTCTACTCGCTCGACTACCTGCGCATACATCATCAATTGACGACTTTTGTACCACCATTTTCAGGGAAAAACATCGAAACAGTACCCCACCACGTCACGTTTGCTCATCAAAAAAAAATTTTTACAACTAGCGCTTTACATCCTACACCCCCACTTTGTACTATATACCTGCGGCACTTGTTGCACTCCAACGTTAGCACTGGGCAAGACAAAGCGGTCATCGACGCCAGGGTCGCTGCTCGGCGAGGCGACGGCTTTAACGATTTCCCTAGCCTTGACCTCGACGACCTGGCAGTTGTTCTCGCTCTGATCATCTTCCAACTGCTGCTGTTGATCGGTGGGCGATGTCTGCAGCGTGTTGCTCGACACCTGCGAGAACAACTTGCTGTTTTTCGTGAGGAAAAATTCGTCCATGTCGATGTCCGTGGTCACGGGCTCGACGCCGTTCTCGGCCTCCTCGTCCGAGTGATTTTCCTGTTGCTGATACTGTGAAGTTTGGACGACGTCGGGCACGGAACTCATGTTCAGCCGTCGACGCACGGTACGGCTCACGTCGATTATTATGCGCGACTTGTCGGATTTGCCCGAGGATTTGTGGCTGCGCGTGTTGTGGCAGTCGATGGGCGATGATTCTGGCGTTATCTTTGACGAGTCTATGATGTTTCCTGCTTGTGGGCGAAGGGGGAATATATTCGTGTTGGCGAATATTCATAAATTTACTTTAAAAACCAACCCAGACGAAAATGCTTATAATATATCTTTCTCGACCTAGCCCCCTGGGATTAGAAAAGGCACAAAATAGTATGCCCTCCCCGCTCCAACAAAAAGTAAAAAAATAAAAAAAAAATAAAAAAAAAATATGAACAGAGCGAATTAATAGAATGTTGCGAACCAGGGTTGCCGGTGGGCGTGCCCGTGTTTGCGTCCTGCTGCCTCTCATCGTTGATCTTGGCCTGAGTGGGTACCACCTCGGCTGATTCGCTCTTAGAACTAACTAACAAGTTATCTGTGATCCTGTGGATCCATCCCTGCGAAAAATTAGAGACACACACTTATTCGCTCCTCCCCACTAATTACACGCATCTTTTCGACTATACGTATTCATGGACACAATTTTTTTCCTGATTTTACGTGAGTACATGAGTTTTTTTTTATGTGGACCAGTCAACAGTGTGTTTTGATCAATGGTTGACGTCACATGAGCCCGTAATAATAAAATCATTTTGCATGGATTAATAAATACAATTAATAGTACAATTGTTCTGGAAAACACAATGTTTCATCCAAACTATTAACTACGTTTTGATAGACTCAAAAAAATGTTGAATTCATCGGCGTAAAGCTGCGTCACACAATTGAAAGCGAAAGAGAAATACAGCGTGCACTTTAGAATAGAACCGAAAAAGCTGCAGTGATAATTTGTTTTATAAATTTAGAAGACGTTAAATGAATGTTTTCAACAACATCAGTTAAATCAATTTATCAAAATCTACTCGTTTCTAGTGATTTTAGTAGATAAAAAAACATGCTCTATTATAATTACTAGTCAACGTAAATCAAAACTACATCAGATCAAACTAAAGGGAGAAAAAAGCTGGTGAAACAAAAAAAAAAAAAAAAAAAAACAATCGAGGGAGATGAAAGAATGCACGTGAAAGGTGTTTTGTTGCGCAAAGTGGAAAACATTCGTGGTGTTTTTTTTTCTGGAAGGGGAAACATATCGCTTGCACTTTCTTGCCGTTACGTATATCCGTACATCCATCACCAATGCATTCACCTTTTTTCTGATCCACTTAACAAGCGAGTCTCCCCTTTTTTTTTTTCATTCACTTCAAGGCTGCAAAAACAGAGGCACAGCAGTATCGTAGAGGGAGAGACATTACGGTTACAGAGAAACATCCAAATACCATTTTTCGTTGCACACAAAACGTTTCACAAGCTATTTATTTCAACGTTGTTTTCGTGCTGGAGAAAAATATCACACTTTACTAAACTAAAGTAAGGAATAAGCAGAAACTACCTGACGTATAAGGTATATGTTTTTTTTCTCATCTATTACGTAAATACGCATGCCTGCACATATTTGTGTATCACAAAAAAAACCATTGCACGATAAATAATTTTATCTATAAAACTGTTTAAATCAATGTACAAAGTATAAGCAATTGGTAAAATTAACTATAACTACAGAAAAAACTAAAATCTCAACAGATAGATTCTTGATGTGGCTTGTAAGTGGTTTTGAAACTATTCAAATATTTTTGTATACGGTAATACACGATAACTTTTGTTAAAAAAAAAGCAGAAGCATAAGATGAGAAAAGCGTAAATAAATACTGTGTGACACAACTTATGCACCAACTCTCTAAAGCGTGCAAATTCAACATTGAAACACATTGCCAACAATAAATCTACATAAGTTGTGTAAATCGAATTAAAATTTCTCGGTCGAGAACTTACCTGAATTCTGTTGGAAATGTCTTCCCATCTCTTACACACTTCGGCTACTTTGGAGTAGTAAGAATAGCGCTGCAGCTGTATTATCTTAGGCTTGGTTTCCATTATTTCTGTCTGAATAGACTGTAAAGAGAAAAAAAATCGCAATGATTGTATTAATAAAAATAATCACGATGCAATATTTCGAAGTATACCTTGCACTGTTCAAAGTGTTTATCGTTGAGCTGTTCCACTGGCACGTTATCTAATTTGTTCAACTTATTCTCAACTAGCGACAACCAAGCATTTATTTCGTCCACGTTTGGTTCCTCCTGCAACAAGAGGTAACTTCATGTTAATAAAAAAAAAAAAAATACAAAGAAATCAATTAAAAGTGTAGCCCAGATGTATTACGTCAACGTACCTCGGATCCATGGCAGAGCCGCAATCGCTTTTCCGTATTAGCAAGTCTATCAATGATATCGCTGAGTTTTTCCTTAAGCTGCTCCAGGTAAGCCGGATCGCAGAGCTTTGAAAAATCGTCTTGCGTCTGGAAGAGCTGATCCTTAATTGTGTTTAATCGAGGTATCACCTCCGTTAGAGTTTCCTGTAAATGAAAATGATAAGCTAATGAAAATTTAGAAAAAACGTACGCAAAAAAAGGAAGGTTTGACTTACGGTAACGTATATTGCGTTAACTGGAAGGTCCGGTCTGTGTCTTTGGGTATCAAGTTCCTTGTTGATGCTCTCAATGGACATGTTTAAGTAAGAAATCTGTTGGTGCATGTCACGGGACATGTCCAACGCAGACTCGAGCATCGCTTTGGACTGAGCTATCTGAGTGCCAAGATGTACGAAAAAAAAAAAAAAAAAAAAAAAAAAAAAAAAATTTATCTTTGTTCATACCATGTACAATTTCCACGATTATCGTGGATTATTTTGTTAAATCATCACCTTGTTGTACAATTCTTTGAGGGTATCGATGCGCTTGGAAAACTTGTCGGGATCGTCAGCATATGATTCCTCGATTGACTTTCGACCAGCAACGATAATACTTTCGATCTCTCCCTTGATTTCGCTCAAAGTTTGATAGAACCGCTGTAAGAAAAATAAAAAACCATCTCGCGTCAAGCATCCAAATTTCGAAAAAACCGTCTCGTAATTAAGTACCAAGCAGTGCTTGAGCTGTCGTTCAATGGCTTCCGGATCTTCGGTAGCCAGCTCGAGCAGGCAAGTGGCCTCCTCGATTCCTCGCAACTCGCGCAGAGCCCGCGACAGACGAGGCTCGATGTTAGCCGGGCTGCGGAAGCGCTGGAACTTGGCCTGCACCTCGTCGAACTTTTGTTGGATCAAGCTCATCTGTTCCCGAAGCCGTTGGGCCGCCTCCTGCTTGCCTGCGGCCTTGTACGCCTCCACCTGCGCCGTCATTTCGTCGAGGGTCGATTGTTGGCTGTCCATCTCCTCGAGCAGTTTCTACAAAGATTTTTTTTTTTTTTTTTTCGATCTTTCAAAACTACTTGTCGTTTGATCGTATACGCTTGTAAGATCGAAGAATTCATAAGTGCCATAATTTAATATGTCCAATTTAAAAATTATTTTTTTCAAATCGAATCCCAAGAAGGCAATGACAAGTAAATTTATGACTATTGATGAGTAGCAGATGATATAATTAGTCACTGGCTTTTGAATGGCCAAAACCCATCGATCCCTCTCTCGTGTGTGCTTGTGACACCTCGATATAAATGCAAATGGGTTTGATATGACTGTTAGTTATATGTATATAGGAATGAAACTAGCTCGTATATATCCCAATTAGATTTCGATTCCCATTCATGAAAGTTGCATTGTATGTGAGCGCGCGTTGAAAAGGATGAGAACAATGAGGCGCTGTGTAGGGCATCGGACAGTGCATCCTTCTATATGTTCCAGCGCTACGTTTGGGTGTTTAGAACCAACTTGTACGAACATTCGAATCAGAAGAGTATATCCGAGAGTTACGTTTACGTTAACTTTCGTGATCCTGATTAAAAGTCACACGCTTGAAAACAGACAAAAAAAAAAAAAAAGCAAAAAGCCACACTAAAAACCACAAACTCCCGGGCAAATAAAACCAAGACTTTTATGCGCGAGAAAAATAAAATGCGCAAAAAGAAGTTATCAAGAGGAGAACAGACCTGGTAGTCGTGAGGCAAATCGTCGGCGGTGAGATCGCAGTCAAGCCGTGCGGTTAGTACCGAGTCTACTTGCGTTAAGGAATGCTGAAGAGCGAGGATCCGGCCCTCGGACTGCTGGGCCTGCTTCACCGATCCCTCCAGCAGCTTGGCACGCTCGCTAGCCTGCGACGCATTCACAGACACAACGATGTTTCACACGCAATCGTGTACATGTGCTTCGACTTTTTTTTTTTCTTTTTTTTTTTTTTTTTTTTTTTTTTTTATCTTACTACTTACTCTCGTTACGATTGTGCGTCATTTCATTTTATTAAACTCTTATATTATTGTAAGCAAATACCAAAATGTATTGTCAATTGTTTTAAAATCATTTAATGATTGTTACTTGTTAGATCACATTGAAAAATCACCGAAATAGAAAAAAAACAAAAAAAAAAAAAAAAACGATTCGGTAAGCTTTTAATGACATAATCGCTCTCGTAGCCACGATTCATGCTGTTATTCAATGAAGCTTGGAGCTTTAGAAAGCTTCAACACCGACTGCGACACATGATCGTTTCGTTAGTAAATCAAACACAAAGTGGAATCCAAAAAAATTACCTGCTTGTTCAGTTCCTGCCAGCGATCGATGAGCGTATCCACGTCCGATCGGATGGACTGAGTCATAATGTCATTGTCGATGAGCTGTTTGCCAATGTCCTGCAATTTTTCAAACCGCGAGTCCGGGTGGTTCCTTATGTAATTCTCGAGGTCGTCAAGCTCCTCTGAAATGTCCTCGGCGTCGGCGGCATTTTTGCTCGACTTGCGCAGTCTCTTCTCGAGCTTGTCCAGCCAGTCGCTCTCCTGGGCCACCAAAGCTCTGAACTCCCCGTACTCATGACTGGCGTTCTGGAAGTGCTTGTAGCGCTCGTAGATGCGATCGGTCACGTCGGTCCAACGAGCGTTCAGGTAAGTGAAGCGCCGACCAAGTTCGTGCACAGACGAGCCCTCGGAGCTTAAAAGTTTGTCGCTCCCGAGTTCGTTTAAATTACGGAACTCCTCGACTCGACGATCGACCTTGTCCTGAAGAGTCTGATAGCGTCCGCGAGCTTGGAATAGCTCCACCGACGACGTGACCTTGCCCTCGACCGGAATCTCGGTCTCGAGATTCGCGAGCCATTTGGTAAAGTCCTCGATTCCGTTTATGATCTATTTTAATGTAACGCGAGATGTTTGGTGAAAAAAAAATTTTTTTAAAAAAGGATTGAATGTAAAATCCGAAAATTGCAAAAGCTTACCTCGTCATTTTTCCTCAAAGCGTTCTCGTACTTGTCGCCCTGTATCTTAGTTTCGTCGACAACGGCATTCCACTTGAACGACACATTCTCGAGCTTCTCGTTTAGGATGCTCGCGAAATTCGGCTCCGAATTCTCGAGCAGAGTATTCGTGGTCGTCTGTAAATTCTCTATCCTCGGTTTTGTCTTGTTTATGTCCTCGGAAAGTTCGCGGATCTGCTGGAGCTTGTACTCTGTTGTCTCTACGTCCTTTACGGTCGAGTCTTTGGAAATTTCTTCCAAACGCGCTGTGGCTCTGTCGAGCCAATCCTCGAGACTCGCGAGATCTTTATTGAACGCCTTTAGGGACTCGATGTCTTTTGAGAGCTTCTGTAGCCGTTCTTCCAAAATGATCGGTATATCGCTCCATTTAGTGTTTAGATCTTGAAGCTCCTCCTTGACTTTGTCTCCCTGGACGTCTCCGTTTGTTTTCGAAATTAATTCCTGGCCCACCTTATTCACATAGTCAAAATTACTCTGATGAGACTTTAAAGAATTTTGCAGTTCTCTGAATCTTTTGATTTTTCCGTTCATAGTTGTCTCGTCTGATATTACAGCGTGTTCCGACAGCAACACACCTTCGATGTTGTTTATGAAAGATAACAAGTTACCAACAGTTTCGGTGTACTTCTTTGACGGTGTCTTATCAACGGCGTTACTCAATTCGTTTGCCCGATCTGATAATTTTTTCAAAAGATTATTCCAGTCCGTAACTAATTTGTCCACGTCCGATTTAAGAGAGGATACTTCCTCAGTATTCTCTTCACTTGAGAGTTCATTCGTGGTAACTGTCAATTTTTCAATGCGATCCTCACAAGACCTCATCGACTTTACCTTTACACTGAATAGTTCAACGTGGCTGTTTTCGCGATTAGCGTCTAACCACTTGGTGTGCCCGTCCAACAGTAATCGCAAACTCGTCAACTCCACTCTGTACTCCTTTATCTTGAGCGAAAAATCGATTTTCCTCTTGACCTCTTCGAGCCTGCTGTTAAGCGACGACCAGAGTTCCTCGATATTTTTAATTTTAGCCTCCTCTTCATCGCAGTTTTCGTTAGCTTTCTGCATATCTTCGATCAAACGCTTACCCAATTGCATGGTCGTGTCATAATCGCTCTGATGCAATTTCATCTGCTCGAGATTTTCATTGTATGAAATCTTCTTTTCGTCCGAGGTAAGCTTATCAAAACCACGGTCGAATTGACTTATCTCTAGATCAAAGACATCCAAAAATCTGTACAAGTTTTCCAAGGACGTATTAAAGTCTGTTCTTATTGGACTATCCATTTTGCGTTTCTTTGAACTGCTGTGCAACGGTGACTGTAACGTACAAGAAAACATAATGAGTTATTTTCACCGAATCAACGTACAAATATATTGAATAATATACCATGGCCCCCAATTCTTCCTTCTGGGCATTTCCAATAATCGATTCGTTGATCCAATCGACCGCAGGGTTCGAAACCACATCGGTATTTGATAAATCAACTTCAAATCCATGACTCGATATCTACAAAACACAAGTACAATAAATATTTCCAAGTCAGTCAAGAGTGATTAAAAAAAAAAAAAAAAAAAACTAACCCTCTGACTCTGAACTTGCAAGATCTGCTCGACAGCCTCGCACCTGTCCTCTAGATTTTCCAACTTTTGAAGCATCCCCATGCACTCGGGACTCATTTCGTACCCTTCGAAATCCTGAATAGCCTTCTGCAAGGCGGCGAGCTTCTTCCGTACGAGATTCATCTCCTTCTTGAGCGACTTAAGTTTACCGATCCGCTCGAGCACCTGGCCGATCTCACTGGCCATCGCCGCCTCCATCTGCTTCAGCCTCATCTCGGCCTCGTTCAGCCAAGACACGAGCCTCTCGTAATCATCCTCCACGTCCTTCAGAAACGCAGCCAATGCCCGCAAGCTCTGCTGGTGCTTCTGCTGCCACTGGCATATGTGGGTCCACCTCTCCCCGAGGGCTGACAACTGGTCCTCCATCTGAGCATACACCGTCTCCGAGTTTTCTTCGTCAACGACGATGACCATGTTTTTCAAGCCATCAACGATGGTCTGCTGATTATCGATGTCCCCCTCGAGCTCGTGCAGCTGCTTGAGCTGCTCCCCCAGGGGCGAGCTGTTCTCAAGACTCGCCAGCCGTGATATCCTGTCCTCGGTCTTGGTCAGCCACTGCCGTAGCCCGTCCAGCTGAGTCTGCTGCATCTCCATGAGGGTCTGATGGATCCTGGCCTGGCGGTCGAGGGCGCGCTTGCGCAAGTTCTCCCAGCGCGAATTCAACAGGCCCATTTGGACGCGCACCTCGTGCTCCTCGTCCTTCTGTAGCTGGCCATCGGCCAGGAGCCGCTCGCCTTCCTCCAAGACAGCCCCAACGCCGTCCTGGTGGCCCGACAGCTCGACCAGGAAGGCCTCGTGCTCGCGAAACTGGCGCTTCAGGAGCTCGAGACTCGAGGCAGTCTCCGCCGCGTGGCTGAGCACGTCCTCGGCCTCCAGCAGCCACGTGAGCACCTCCTCCAGGGCGACCTGGTAACCACCCAGCTCGACCGAAACGTTGGTCGCCAGACTGAGCGGCCGCGAGCTCGGCGGCTCGAACATCGGGAACTGAGCGAACGTCACCGGCGCTTGCTACGAATCGACAATTTTTGTTTTATTCATATACGTGTAAAATCGGCCGATCGGTCGATGGAAATAAACGGCTGACCTCGATGCCGGGGGTCGTGGCCGTGGATCCAGAGTCGCTGGCAGCCGAGATGTCGATCCCCTCGATGTCCTGTCCGGAGTGAGGCAGCGATTGGAAGAGACACGTCACGTACATGAGTATCGATTTCTTGTCCGGTACCGATGTGTTGACGTCTGCAAGCCAACGAGGATCGAAAACTCGTTCAAAAAGAAAAAAAAAAAAAAAAAAGGGGGGGGGACCCAAGTGTATATACATGTGTGGGTATGCGTACCTTCGGGGTCGAGGAGCCTTTCGATGCCGAGCTGCTCCTGGGCCAGCCGGAACGCGTGATCGAGCCTCGCGTTCGGGTGTTTGCGGGCGATCGCGCCGAAATCAAAGAGCTGCGGCTTCCACCTGTGCAGCAGCGCGTTGAACGCCAGCCCGTCCGACCACGAGGTCGTAAAGTTCTTTATGTCCACGCCCTCGTAATTCTACATGTAGGGGGTAAGTGATGTATAATGCTACTACGTGTCGTTATGGGTAAAAAAAAAAAAAAAAAAACGGTGGACTCACTTGAACCGTTTGCCGACACCAGGCGAGCAGAGTTTTTTCCAGGTTGGTCTGCTGTAGCTCGGACATAAGGTCCTTCAAGTGGTAATGTACCTGTAGGAGGAGGAACGAAAAAAGTGTGTTGGACGAGCGACAAGAACCACGGTATACTGTAACTGTTATAGGGATATGGTTTACCTGCCAGTGCAAAATGACACTCCAGACGAGACCGAGGGTCAATTTCGGATTGCCGTCGACTATGTCGTTACTACTAATATTGACGAGTTTCACCTGAAATCCAACATGTCATATCTCATCATCGGTACATCGGTACATGCAAGTGCATAAAATAGTCGAAACGGTTGAGTATACGGGCTTACATTGTTTTGTTCCAATATTTGCAGGGCTTTATTTACATTGTTCAAGTGATGGACTCGCATGCGGCCGCGCTCGCGTCTCTGTAATTCAAAAGCAAGTGACGATATGAGCGTAATACTTGTATAGGGTATTGTAAAAAAAAAGGGGGGGGGAGGAGGGGCTCTTACGTATGATTTGGTCGTCAAGACTTCGAGGAGTGAAAGCAACCTGTTGCCGTCTCGCAGATCCAAGAACAGATCCGCCACTGGATCGTGCTGGTACTTGAGATGGCGAATTTAGAAAAAAAAAAAAAAAAAAAAAAAAAAAAAAAAGAAAAGTTGTACAAATTATATACGCAATTTGTATGAAATTAGTAGCCAAGTTGTTACAATTACTTTGAGAAGCTGCGAGTTTATCCATTTGGTGAAAGTTTTCTTTTGCACGTCCTCCCGTTCATCTGCAAAAAGATTGTTTTCTCGCTTCAGTCGCAATGTTTCGACAATAATAACAAAAACTATTTCTTGGAACATATATGTAAACTGTACAAGAAGAAGGGACCATCGCAGCACGTGTATACTTATTCATGAACTCGTCCTACTCGCATCGAGTACATTGTGTTTGAGGTCACCTTTTTTAAATCCCCCCCGGAAGACTCTACAGTTATATGCAAGGGCACGCGCCCAACTGCATTCGCGTGACTTATTTCCAACACCGATTGATTTATCCCTTCTTTCAACGTTTCACAAACTGTAAAAGGTCACGCACACGCAGGTGATGCATCATCATCATTTGTACTTATCTCAACTTGCTTTTTCCTCGTGCTTTTGTGTACATTTATTTATTTACTTCTCATTTTGATGTTTTGAAAACAAGACTCGTAGGTGTATATATACAATGTGCTGCGAACTCTTACCGATTTTCCGTGCGCGCCGACAAAAAGATCGAAAATGGGCAAACCGCGTTCGTTTACACACACGCGCGTGGGCGATCCAAAGCGGTCCGGCGCGTTTCGAGAAAACACGAGCCAGAGCAAGCTGTAACTTTTACGTTACCGAGCATACATACATATATACACCCACGCATACACTCGCTTAGATGACCGTACATACTCGTTAATTCACGGGAAAAATCATAGGTACACCTATATAACGATCCACTTCATTTTACGACTACTAGCTGTGTGTGACCAACGTCAGTGTGAAAAAGAAACAGTGTCAAATGCACGATAACGGTGTGTATAGGGATCAAAAGATATATACAAATTAATCCTGAATAATGTTCGATCACCATCTTTTCCTCTGGATGGCGCACGCGAAGTATATAACCACGAGAAACAAAATAAACATGCTTTCGTCTCACTGATTGAGATCTCACGTGTACCTACTTATATGTAATGTAATAATATAGGAGAAAGAGGAGGGAAAAGGAAGAAGGAATTACCGATGCGCACCGGTTTATGTAGGAGCCGGCTTTGGTGCAACGCGCGCGTTTGTGACTTATACGGAGTACTTGCTTATATTATACTCTCTATTTTTGGTCGCAGGGCCCCCGCGTGTCCCTCTCGTATACGAGTATTAAAGTAGGTGTGTATACATGTACACCATCAGCAGTTTCATTTCGAAAAGTATTAAACACATTTCCTTGCATCGGCAGCGGCGGCTTTTTCTCTTCCTCCCTTTCTTTCTTTCTTTCTTTCTCAAAGGGACGACTACGCGCGCGTGCACGAAAATAACCACATGTGCGCTCTCTTACGTATATCCAATTTGTACACCAATTTAATTCTTCGAGGAGAGAATTAATGGTTAGCCGAAGAAAAGGGCGCGCTATAACGGATTTATGTATATACATCACCCGCAAAGTAAACTCGTCGCTGTTAATCGAATATCATCCCGAATTCTTCGTCGTTGTTTTCTCAATTGATTCAAACGCCGAAACGCCATATAAATCATTTGAAAAAATAACAAACTATCCGATTCAAATTTTTTATAGGAATATATGACATTATTTCACAAACAACCAATCAACCGGTGCGAACGGAATGATAAAATTCATACGCCTTTGAATAAAAACTAATAAAAAAAAAAAAAAAAAACCCAAAACGAGCCTGCTTTCCCTTACACGTGTGATGGATATAACTTTCACGCGCGATACAAAACCGTAAGTGGTATATTGGCTGTTGTCCGTGTGCGCGCTTTTCTTGTACCTTTTTCTCCTCCTCTTTCCAATAAAAAAAAAAAAAAGTCATATCTCGTGAGGGCGAGGAAACGTTAAAAGCACTCACACTCTCCCATTCGCGTTGATAATTACGTGACCATAAAACGCTGCTCTTGTACCTACATATATAATATACCAATAATGCTTAAGTATAGAAGAATAGAACAGCACAAACGCCAGGACATATTCTCGACAGCAGCAATAATTGCAGGCAAACGGACGCTCTGCTTTCGTACATTGTACATCTACCTAATATATATCTCGCGATGTCGTTGGCCTCCGCTGCTCCTGTTGTCGCGCACCATCGCCTTTTGTCATTTAACTCTCGAATATACATATATGTACATCCTACACGAGTATATGATGTGTACACGCACTCATTCGACGGACGCTACTCTTTCCCTTTTCTTTTTTTTTTTAATGTTATATCACACACTTGATGAAAACAAGTACATATATGTATTTGAGAGCGTGTGTGCGCGGCGATGGACAATAGGCGTGAGATGAACGATTTCAAGAGAGAAGAAACAAAAGGATGTTTAGATTAGATTGCGAGCTACAGTGTTATACATCTATAGAGCTATATAGGCGTGGTATATATACATACAAGCGCGTTAGATCGGTACCTACATGTATATGTACATTTATATTTGTATGCACACGTATTTTCATCTCCCATTTGGTTTGTTTATTTGTTTATTTGTGTACAGTGCAAGAGAAAATTTTTTCACGCATCAGGAAGGTGTCTGTGTGAGTTGACGCTTGGTACGCTCAGCGGTTTTTTTTTTTTTTCAAAATCGTGGGTGGTAAGTGTACAGGTATCGGGTTTCAAAAGGTACACATTGTGTACCTATGCGGATCATTTTTTATATTGCTTTTGTTTTTCATGCCAAAGGGACATGAGCGAGAATCAAAGACCAACTTTGAGGTTTCACGCTTACTCGATCCAATGCCTTTTCTCTTCCTCTCTTGGGTTGAATTACGAATGGCTAATCATTGAATATGTTATTCGCGGTCGACTCGCATATTTCATACAACAGAGGAGCAGTCAGGAGTGTGAGTGTCTACAGGTAAGTTTTGAACCCTAGGTAAGTTAATTAGTAAATAGATCAACTCGAAAATATTTTGCATTTTTTTTTGTGGTACCCAATCGTTTCATGATACAATCATTCAATTGCACAATGAAATCGTTACATGAGCAGCTTAATTTTCCAAAAAAAGGGTCAAAAGTTAAAAAAAAAAAAAAAAAATTCACTCTAGCGCACTGACGCGCCATCGTTGAGGGGCTCATCAGCCAAAACTCCTATATAATTGTTCTGACCGAGATTCGCTGATTCTCATTTTTTTTTTTTTTTTGTACGTCCAGCTCTTCTTTCAGCTGATTCATCGCTATACGGCACATGCGCTTTTTTATTTCGCTTAGCTAAATGTATACGCCAGAAGTCCATATTGTCAATTACAACACCACAAGTATACGTATACGCGAGCCAGAGAGTTTCACGTAATGGAACGGAATCACTTTGATATATATTTATATTCCGACCAATTACGATGATGGTGTGGTGAATTGGTACATTTAAACGAGACACCCCCTATTTTTTCCTCCTCTTCTTTTCGTCTTTTATCGTTCAAACGCGCCTTCGGAGGGAGAAATTTACTGGTGTGTTTGCCCACTTGGGCTGTTTACCAAGAGTCTGATTATACCTCATATAGGCTTTAATTTTACGTTTGATTGTCTACACGATAAGTACGGGAAAATATGCGTTTTCAATACCCATAACTTAATTTTTTTCTGATAGGTAATGGAATTTCATCTCCTTCTTTGCGCTCATACCGATACATTTTTACCGGGAGAATAAACAATACAGTATGGTAACGTGCACATTAAAAAAAAAACAACGGATAATTGTCCAAGCACTTTATAAACAAAGTATAACAAAACTGACCGATTTTCCCTATGTTTTACAATTTCGTTGTGCCTGTATGTTGCGCTATGAGCGGGCTAACTTTCCAACAACAACCAAAAGTGTCAGCGTAAGTTAAACACAGGCGCGCGAGCGCGAGCTTAAAGAAACAAACGTGGACAGGGAGACGAGAGACATCCCAAACCGGTATTGGAGAAGCCGCGAGACGATAAGATGTTGGTACAATGTAAGGATGGGTGTATATGTAAAAAGCGAGTGAATGTGTGCGGGCTTGGCTTGGATAACAAAGCTGCACGTGTGTAATAAATGCAGATCGTGGTAGCGTAACGCGTGCGTTGGACAATTTTTTTTTCTTACGTGAATCCACACTGTCGCGCGTTGAATTAAAAAATAAACCGATTTTTGTTGCGATCGAACGAATCGAGATGTTATTACTATTAGCGAGAGCCTATGGGCGTTTTATTGCATTTTTTTTTTTCATCGAAATTCCAGACTGCGTGTGTCACTTTTTAATACTTTTTTACGCACGAGGGGAGCTTTTTTTGTTGATCCTATTTTCTTGACGCATTGGTATTGGTACGTGTACACGCATATACGTGCGAAATAAAGTGTCGCACATGTGAAAGATCGAACAACGGCGCTCAGTTGTCGTCGGACTGTGGATCACGAGTGATGGAGTAAAATATGTCCAACACTTACAAGTGTTTTATCCTTTTCTTCTTATCTTTAACTAATTATCACAAACACGCAAGAAGGAGAAGGAATGTTTCTCGTTGCCCTTTTTTTTATTTTATTAATTATATCAGTGTTACAAAAAACTCATTTTCCAAAAATTCAACGATAATTGACGATAATGGGAATAATTAGAAGTTGATAAAACGACGATTAACTGGTCGCAATCAGAAAGTCCTAACTGATAAGATGACTGTTGTAAAAAAAAGACTCTCTAATAATTTATGAGTTAAATAGAAATTCATTTTTTTCTGACTAACAAGTAATTTAATTTAATCGCTCGCGCGTCGATCGAACTATCATTTATACTTCTTCTTAAAATACGATATGAATTTTTTCAGCAACGAAAAAGTACTTTACTCTGATTGTTATACGAAACAGCTCGAAAAACTGGTCACTCACGACACGTGCACACAGATAAAAAATAATCATTCCCCCGGTGTCTCTTGTAAGTTTGCATATAAATCACGCGCCACTGCTCACGTAATTTTTTATTTCCCTACGGTGTAAATTAAAAACTATTTCTGCCATATCAGCCTCGCATTGAATATTCGTCTACGAAAGATAAAGCACGACTCGTTCATTT